TAACAAAAGAGAAAGGCATAATTTAGAGAAACTAATTCACACGCCCTTTAAAAACCAGATGAAGTGATTGATGATTCCTTATTCTGATTTAGTAAGTCTTCCTACATACAAGACCTAACTATCCAAAAAGAAACAAAGACATTTTGTTACAATGCACCTCACCACTGCCCACTGCCTGATTACTATCAGAGAACTAAAGTCAGCCAAATGATGCCCCTCCAGTGTAATCATAATTCTGAAACATCCAAGGCAAGGATCCTCTGAAATTTGCTCAGCCCTGTCTTTCTGAGGCTACACCTTTCCTCTCCTGTTCAAGGACCCAGCCTTGAGTGTGTCAGTAGAGAAAATCTTCTACACCTAGAAATGGAACAGGAAACAGTTTATAAAAGCCCTCCTGCCCAGCTTGGCACCTATAGCTTAGCGGCTAGGGCATCAGACACATACACCAGAGCTGGCAGGTTCAAATCCAGCCCAGGCCTGCCAAACAACAATGAAAACTACAACCAAAAAACAGCTGGGCGTTGTGATAGGCTCCTGTAGTCCCAGCTACTTGGGAGGCTGAGGCAAGAGAATCAAGTCCAAGAGTTTGAGGTTGCTGTGAGCTGAAGCCACGGCACTCTACTGAGAGCAACATAGTGAGACTCTGTCTTGGAAGAAAAAAAAAAAAAAGAAAGCCCTCCAGTCCTGTACAGAAAAGGAGGCTGTTGGATAGATAGTAACATCTAGGGTAGCTCAAAGGATGTGAAATATGAACCTGCTCTTGGTCATCAGTGGGTAAAATTTCTAAATTCAACTCTAAAAAATATTCATTTAACAAATATTTTTCCTAAAAGGAAACCTTTTAATAATTTTTCTACTACTAAAAATTGAGGGGAAGTGAAAACAATTGCCTGCGATGTCCTCTGGTCTTGGGTCCTGACCTGCCAAGAATTCCCTCCCTGCCCCCAGGCACGTGTGACACCCTGGGGAAAGATGGGCTCTGTGTAAGTGCATCGTGAGGGCAGGTCTTAGGGAACTGTGCGTGGGCGGCTAGCAGATTTCTGATCACTAGTTTGCATTGATCTTACATCTAGACACAGATTCAGAAGAACAGACCCTCCCTTTTCCAGTGCCTTCGGAAAGATTGCCGCTCCGTAGGATGAGCCCTTTCTCCTCCACCCTTAGTCTTCAGCCCAGCTTCCCGGGGAGGTCCTACTTTGATTTCCGGCCCTCACCCCACCAGCTGAGCCTGCATTCCTCTTTGCAGTCCCTCAATGCACCGGGTGAGCCGAGCCCTCAGACCGTTCCCCGTCTCTGTGCCCTGATGGCATCTCAGTGCGTGTTCTGGTCTTGCCGTTCGTCTGCAGGGGACGAGCTGGTCTGTGTCTGTGGCCTGCTTGGGGTATGAGGAGCACTGGGGCATGGAGCTCTGTGGCATTCCCGTCTGTGTGGCGCAGAGAGCACCCGTGCGGCTGTGGTCTGTGTATGATGCATTGGAAAGTGACGAGTGCAGTTGTGCTTTCTGCGTAAGCTGGTGCCACTGTGGATACCTGGCTGTCATCACAGGCAGGGCACAGCACGGCTCAGGGGCTGGCTGAGCGGAGGCCATGGCAGTCATGTGGAGGGAGGTTTGCAGCCCCTCTGTATCCAGAAAACCAGCTGTGTCTGGGAGACTGGATCAGTGCATCGAGCCTGGAGTGGTCTGATTAAACATAGACTCAAGAGATCTTCATTGACAAAATAAAAGTAGACACACAGCAACAGTAGAATGTATCCTAAAACCAGGCAAACCAGAGAGCAGAAAGACTTAAAAGAACGTTTTCTGGGAAAGCCTGTGCTCACTGCTAGGACAGTCGGGCTCATGGCTGAGTGTTTTTCTAGCAAAGGGAGGAACCACGGCTAGCTGAATTAGAAACCTTAACTCCTGACGCACAAAGATCCGATCTGATAATCAGAAAGTCTGGCCCCCTTGAAGTTTTCCACAGCCAGGCACATTGTGACGTGGCTTACAGCTGACTTCGAGGAAGCTGAGCTTGTATTAGCCCGGCAGTGAACCCTGTCTAGCAAACAAAATCTTAAAATATCCAAGATCCAGACCTATCTGATCTCTTCAGGACTATATTATAATCATGGATACACATGACACACATTTCACATTTCCAAAGGTTTCGTTTGCTTTTTATTTTGTTTTTGCTCATCCCATAACCTGGAATGAAGAAGGCCACAGCATGACAGTGCTAAAGGATGCAGGGACTTCAAGCTCTCTTTAAAATGACATTTTTCTTTGTGCTTTTTATGTTTCTTATTGTTTTCCTGTGCACTACTGGCTTTCCAACATGCTTTGTTATGAAACTATTTTCACTTGTGTCCAATGTACTGAAATATTGTTATAGTCTTTGTAATGTATATTGTCTGGAGAATAAAATGAGTGTGGGGTTGGGGCTATTTGATGGGTGTATTTAACAGTATTGTTCTAGTTGTATCGTTGAATCATAAATGTATGACAGTGTGTTTAAAGTAGTGTAAAAAGATTTTAGAATGTTTGTTTTGAAAAAGAATTGCATGAGGCATGATTCATCTAAAAAATTTAAAAGCCCTCTTCATGTTCTACAGATTTATTTCTAAAGCTGGGTAGGAGTCAGTTTTAAGACCCTGGGCATTCCATATTCATTGTGCTTCAACATACAAATAGAAATTAAAGGGACAATCCTAGAAAGTACACATAAAAGTCAGCTGTGAGTTGGGAGAAAATGGTTATTTTGCATGTGCGTTCAAAACCAACTCATAAACAAACTAACCAAAAGTAAGATCGCGATCTTTACATTTTGATTGCACCTCAGTGCTTGGTCCTTTTTTACAGTAAGTTGCCTTTTTAATTCTCGTAAAATTATTTTGAATCAGTGTATTACCCTTCATTTGTTTCAGAAATTAGCATGTAAGGTCCTTACTAAATTGGAAAAAAGTTAAATTTGTTTTTTCTTTATCCCCAGGTTCTTGTCAAAACCGCATTTTCTAGATGAGTGCCCAGTATTCCTGGAAACTGTGGGTCACACAACTTTGCACACTTTAAGACTAGACAGTCTTCTTCCACCCCAGTGCAGCTTTTGTGGGGTCGGGGAATCCAGATTTTAGGGGAAGGAGAGGCTTGTCAGAGTTCTACAGGTGATTCCAGTTAGCTGTGGGTCCACCCGCTTTCCCCAGGTGAGAAGGGTGAATGGAGTAAAGCAGTCTCTGACGGAGAGAGGTAATTTCACTACAGACAAAGTGGCATTATGAACAGTTACAGGTGTCATGATCACCTTACACGTTTGGTTATATGTGTATTAATTACATTGGGTTCGAGTGACAGCAAAGACCTTTCGCCATAACCAGAGTTAGAAGCAGATGACAATGATCCAGAATTCAATGATCCAGAATGATCCAATAGCCAATTTCTCCATCTCCATTTCAGTTGGGTCTTTCTCATTTTAAAAGTCAGCTTCCTGAATATGGAAACTTTAGAGGAAAACATTGAACTTGGGGAGTGATGAAAACATAAGCTGCTGATTATAGAATCTATTGGAGGAGGATTAAAAGGTGAAAAGATGCACTTTTTTTTTTAAAGCCGAGTAGTTTTTACCCAGCAAACTCAACTAACATAAAAAGGGCTTTTTTTTTTTTTTTTTTAAGAATCAGGCCTCTGGTGACTGTATTCAGCTGGTACTTTTTAAGTGTATACAAATAATTATTGTTAAGCTGGTTGTTTCATAGCTTTGATGTGTAGTATCTCTTTATAGGAGGCAATTTTGAGACACAGCCTGCACCTTTCTCTCAATTAGGCAAGTATACCTGTTGTAATTGTTGCCTCTGACTTGTGTGATTGGTATGCTCAATTTCCTTCACAAAATAAACGACAGCAGCTTGTTTTCTGTCAGTAAAATTGTCTAATTGTCATTCTAATTTCATGATAAGTTGCTTAAGTTCTTAGAAAAATAGTAAAGATGCTTGTAATTTTTTTGGTTGTACCTCAAAGCTTCCCCCTCCCCCCATTTTCTTATACACCAGTGCAAAGCACTCGTTATGAGCAGTGAATGTGGTTAAGGGGCTGTCAGACCACCTGCCGTCCTGTATGTGGCATTTTAAATTAATCCTGTTTTGAGTACTCGGCTATCAAAAGAGACTTGTTTTCTTATCTGTGTCAATTTTGCTTCCTGTCTCTCTCCTCCATGCTTTTCACTGGGAATGACAACAGTTGACATTAAAAAGCTGTTGGCAGGTATGGACTAACCTTACTCTGTTACAAATAACAAACACCACAGTGCATGGGAGGTCGGTCGCTGGTCCAGTGAGTCAGAAGTCACAGTGTATTATTCGCAGGCGGGATTTAGAACTTGGGGTACAGCAGGCGCACAGAGACGGGTTCTCCCTGTACCTAATGTCCAGAATACCTACCGCTTCAGCAAAGTATCTTATCTCACACGTTAGTTTTAGGAGTAACCCGCGAACTGTGCTTTTCGGTGATGAGGAAGGGACCTGTTCCGGGTCCAAGTCACGCTCAGGAAAATTAATTTATGTTGCTTAGCGCTTCGCGCTTGTGAGCCTTCCAGAGAGCTGAGGGAATTCTCAAAGCGACTAGATCGTGGCTCTTCTGCCCAGGGGATGTTTCCCGATTTCACTCCGTGCGTCTTGTCCCTCTCCATCCAGGACTCTAGCTCCCAGCCGCCCCGCCTCAGGGGTTACACAGGCATCTGAGCGTCCCCTCTCCCTTTAAGTCCCTGGGGCGCTGTTCTGCCAGCCCCCAGGAGAGGGACTTGCCCCTTCCAAAATCGATGCCACTTCACTCCCGGATCACCTGGTTGGGAGTGCAGTCCGAGCCAGGTAACCCTTCCTGACCAGTGGTGTGTCCTGTCTGCTGCTGGCGCAGAGTACCGACTCCCAGGACGGCCCTGGACCCTCCCCCAGCGTGGCAGCGTGAAAACGCCCGCGCCGCGCGCAGCCTGCCCTCTGTCCCTAATAACCCGGTCCGCTTCTGTTGTTCCCAGTGGCCTGGTTTGCCTTCGACCCTGGCTCAGCCCACTCGGACATCATCTTCTCCAACGACAACCTGACGGTGACCTGCAGTAGCTACGATGACCGGGTGGTGCTAGGGAAGACCGGCTTCTCCAAGGGCGTCCACTACTGGGAGCTCACGGTAGACCGCTACGACAACCACCCCGACCCCGCCTTCGGCGTGGCGCGCGTGGACGTGCTGAAGGACGCCATGTTAGGGAAGGACGACAAAGCCTGGGCAATGTATGTGGACAATAACCGGAGCTGGTTCATGCACAACAACTCGCACACCAACAGGTACCCTGAGCCCCCAACCAGGCCTCCTTCACCTTGGCTTCTGGGCAGGAGCGAGAGCCTGGTGGGTTCGGAGACCCAGAACCCGCACACGGACCCCGGGAAGGAAGCCAGGCCCGCTCCTCTCAGCTCAGTCCGTCCTGGGGGCTTACTTTTTGCACAGACAGAGATGTGAGCCCTTCCCTGGGCCCGTTGTGCGCTCACAGCCCTGGCTGGAAACTGAGATCCCTAAGCATGTCCACCAGAGAAGGACAATCCTGAGGCTAAAACCCAAACCTGCCACTTACCAGAAATGCGCTTTTGCACAAATTACTTCATTTCTCTGCACCTTAGTTTCCAAATCTTCCAAATTAGTGTAATCTTATTTTCCCATGCAAGCGTGTTCTGAAATGTAAATGAGAGGTGTGAAAATGCCTCACACTGAGGGCACCTGGAAACAGTGGCCGCTGCTCTTAGTAGAGCGACTCATTCGATCTTACAGACGCCGCTCTGGATAGTTGACCCTTGGGGAACTCCCTGGCTATTCTCAAGATTGGGAGCACCCCTTTTGCCGAGGAAAGAGAATATAGGAATGCCCTTAAGGGTTTCCTCTACCTCCAAAATACAGACAGTTACAATTTCACACATGCTATAATTTTTTTCCCTGGATTTCCTTTTTCATTTGGTTGTGTTCTCATCTTCAAGTGTATTTTTTTTTTCACAAATTTCCTAGGCAGAGAAGGATCCTGGTCCACCTTATTCTCAAATTTCCCAATGATACACTTTCATGGGTGTTTCAAAAAAGAAAAAAAATACAGTGGTATTCAATGACGTAAAAGGGAAGGTAGCCAGGTGGCGGCATGGTGGTGGCGTGGTGGCCACTGTGGTGGCCGTGGTGGCCGTGGCGGCACAGCGGGCCCCACTACTGCAGCCTTCTCTGTGTGCTCGTCCCCAGCCCTTCTCCAGCCAAGGCCTCCTGCTCCCGGGAATATTTCCCGCACACCTCCATTCAGGTGCGTCCTGCTGGCTATCACTCGCAGTGCACACACACACACACCACTGCAACTTGGTGACAAGTCGGATGGGATAGATGAGCACCTGCCTTCTGTGACTGCCATTCAGGGCACCCCTGGGTCGCTAGATTTCTGATGCCTTCACCCACCTGGCATGCTTACTTTTTCCCTTGTAGTGTTGTCTTTATTTTGAGTGAGAGAGTGAACAATAACGCCCCCCACACTGTGCAGAGAAGCACATGCTTAGAGCTGAACACGCCCGCGTGCATGCCACTTGTGCTTTCTTTGCTAAGCCTGCAAACTAAGGAGATGCGCTCTGGAAGCCTGTCTTCTGTCTCCTAGTGACCGCGGACAGTCTGTGTCCTGCATTCCGAGGAAACGAGTGCCACCCTCACCTTCTGTGCTCTGCTGAGATGAGAATGAAGCCCAGTACTTTAGCCAGATCTCAAAACAGGAGGAAAGACAAATCCGATTAGCCATGTTCTAATGGCATTTTGCCAAACTATCAATTGAAGCACAAGACACATTACGTTGTAAAACGACATTAGTTATCCAGCGTCCTTAAAATCACTGCCTTACCTGTAGCATAAGTATTTCACTTTGCAGGGAAGAATCCTCTGCTTTGATGCCATTTTAAAGGGAGTGACTCTAAAGTCTTAATTATGATACAGCATGACAAAAAAGAATAACCATCTTTCTGGAATGAATTTTTCTACTTAACGGGTAATAGAAAGCCTAAACTCCAAGTTCTCATGCAGAGAACTGGTGCATGAGTTCCAACTAACTATTTCTTTATTCTGACTTTCAAATTAAGTCATTTTGTATTTAGTGGTGTTTGATTCACACCCTTCTTTCTGCAAGGTGAGAGACACTCCTATAGACAGAACGCTGATAGCCTAAAGGCTAATTGTTTTCTTTAATCTGAGTCAGATCACTAAGTTTTGTCTCCCTGCCCTGGCTCAGTGCAGAGATCCTTTATGAATGAGCTCACATCTCAGCAATAAGAGGGCAGCCCCTTGGTGGGAGCACTCATCTCCTCCAAGGGACTGAACGTTGGGG